TATAAGAGGTTATTAGCTATTTGATTTGGCTGTGCTAAGGCAGCAGAGACCGAGCGCGGAGGTAGAGTAGAGGCTAGAGAGCACAACGAATGAGAGGGCGACAGACAACATCCTGCAGCGGATAGGGAAAGTGAAGCTGTTGAAGCTAACTTTGCAAGGCATTAGCTCCCTTGTCGAGCGAGTTACATGCACTTGAGTGGCACATCTGTGATTGTCCTCTAGAAACCGAAGGGGATCGTTGACTTAACTCTGCCTGGGTTATTTTCAAAACAGTGAGTCAAAGTGCAGAGATAGCAGCCCTTAATTTTCTTACTATTAACGTGATAGTGCCCCTTTGAGCCTCGAAATCGCCACAACCTCTGCTCTCAGAAACCAACCTACTATCTGGTTTGTGACCATTCTGCTGATTTGCTGTAAATTCAATCTGAAGCACCTTCTGTAATTTCCAGATATTAGTTTAGAGCGGCTTAGAAAACTGTTCATCTTCATGACTAGCCGTGTAATATCTCTGGCGGGAATATAATGACCCTTTGGCTTTTTTATTGATCCCTGGATCTACTACTCTGTTAGTGGGAACACTGAGTCTATTGAATTCTCATTAACGTTGTGAACCGACCAAGTTTTTGAGCAGCTCGGAGTTCTGGAATAAGTTAAACTGTAAACCTGGCTACAATAATGCAGCTACATAAGAACTGTCTAAAATTTACCTTTTTAGATGTTTGTGAAACTCCGCACAGAAAGTGTGCCAAATAACTTGAACTTGCACACCAACATAAAACTTCGGCTTGAAAAAAATTCATTCAATTTTTCTAGAGCTAGAAAAGGTCGTTCAATTGGTCGAAATGATATAGCTATCTCATGTATTACTGTAACCAGCAGCATATTTTATATGGCGAAATTATTTCAGGACCTCCGAAAAACGAGATGCAATTCTTTTCTTTGCCGGCCAATTCAACGCAGATGACTACATATCGATCGCCATCATCGGTCCAAATATCATTTTAAGGTGAGCTAAAGTCTAATCGTCCCTCGAAAGCAGTATGGCGGATTGACGAGCAGCTGTATCAGAACAATTCTGTGTCAGTAATTGTTACGGAGGAAATGAGCAATTGTAGAATCCTTCTTTGATTTCCGACAAAAGTTCACAATGCTGCCTCTGTGATACGATAGCGCTTCCTCTAAAACGAACTTGCGTTCGGTAATTGCCTCATATAGAAGGCCACAGATATTTTGGTGGTCCGATTTTGAGAAAAAAAATAATATTGAAAGCCGAAGTATTTTCAGCTCGATATTTTTGAATCCATTTTTTGCGAAAGTCTATAATTTGCTCCGAAAGGTACTTTAGTTATAGTCTGCTATGATAATGATGATACACCTCATTCGTGATTTCGATGGGTGTTTTTATCAAAGGGAAAAGGAATGCAATCAAAATGTTGTATATTGGTTTGATTGGTGCTTAATGAAATTATAAACGTTGGCTGCGACAAGGTGCTACTGAAGTTAGAGGCACATAAATACACGCGTTGCCCATCACGTGCTCATGCGAGGGCGCATGGCTACAGCTAGATCACCTAGGTTCATCTGAGCTTACAATAATCAGCTAGCAACAAAGCTATCGCTGGATTTTCCACCAAACTTTTTTGGTTCTCAAATTGTATATGGTAGGGATAAAAAAGTGAAGGCGTTAGAAGAATAATGGCATATAAATAGGCTGTTTAGCGGGATATTCTTACCGCACGTAGGTTTGCCAACGCGAAATGCTAGAGCGCCATCGACAGAACTTTATAATACTATGAAACAATCAACATGGTTCGCCCGACATGCAGTGTCCATGAGTGAAAGGATTCAGTAACGGTCGCTAACGGTTTCCGAAAAATCCGCGCAGTCTTTAACACGTTGACGACAGCCCCTTATGCGTGTACCTTGGCAACTTTTTGTTTATTTTTTTTCACAATCGTCATAACTTCTTCAATAATTCCACTACTGGTAATTGACTCACAGTTTTTCGGATAAGATGACGCATGCACACAGTTTTGAAATATGAAAAAGGCCAAATAAACCAACATAAAAAACTAGCCAGAATCGGGTGAAATTCTGACGTCGTGCTGTCGTCCGCGTGTTAACGTGAGTTTAATTTTTTTTCAGACGAAAACCAGCGAAGTTCTTGGTGAAACCCACGAAGAGGTACAGACATTGTTGTTCAGCGGTCGCTATCATCTGCTTCAAACAACTCAATCGACTGCCAGACTTGCAGCAACATTCACCCTAAATCCTGGTAGGTGATGGCCATGAATACAAAACATGCATTCTCAAAATTCTGAGTCTAGCTACATAACTAACCTGGAGTAGCGACACTGTCTCATTTCTTTGCAGATGGTGGACTGGAGCCTTAGGAAAGGTGAACTTGCTCGAACGAAAACAGTCAGGCACAAATAATAAAGTTTCCTAACACCAACAACCCTCGTTTGACAGAAATATGTTATATTGCAACTCATCATTTTTATGGAAGAAACGTCAAAAATCGAAAAAATGACATAACTCGCTGAAGATACGAGATATAAAGGCAGGACCGTAAGGAAAGGCATGGCCGCGTTATTGATCTCTGTTCTGGAATACGACACACTTGTAACGTAACTGCAGAATCGCAGCTGACCATCGATGCAGTTTGACCATTATTAACAACGTTCACACGGTCCATCATGCAAATTAAAAGATTCGCTTTTAGATACCTCGCTACCATTAGACTAGCCCTACGACCAAGATTTTGAATCCACCGACCTCACGCGTGAAAACTGACTCTATTTGACAAAAGCACTTTTGCCCCAGTGTGATCATACCTCGAGAAAGAAGTGCGAAAACCCAACTCAGATGATCTTGAAAGACATTGCCCCCATGCCAACAGCTTTAGGAAGCTGAGCTGACATTCATACGTCAGCAGCCGGCATTTCTTGGACCCATAACCGTCAAAAATTGCACACACCCTTGCCGAGTGAATGACCCTAGACGTAAGCCTGGAGATTAGGTATGATCGATGTTGTATTCCGAAACCCATTCCACAAAGCGCTGGGCGCCATAAACAAACGTGGTTCGCTCGAGTAGCAACCCATTCTTGCTGTGTGTCCATGGAGCGGAAGCACATGGCAAACGTTTACGTGGGTAGACCGCTTTTGCATTCTGCTGTCATTAACCACTAATAACCTATTGTTACGAGTAAACTTGCCAGACGGGGAGGAAATCGAAAAACTGCCACGAATAATTTCAAAGGACGAAGATCAAGAAGTGTATGCGGACAGCACATAAGTTTTGCGAGGAATTCCGGCGTTGGCTGATCGGCTTTCGGGTTTTTCCTCCGTTTGATGAGAGTATCAATTACTACAGCTATAGCCGATGAATTAGAAATTTCTTTAAAGCCACCCAGTACATTTTGAACAACGATTACTGCGAAGCTCTGGTCTTCCTGACTTGAGCTCCATCTCTCGCGTTGGCGGGTATTGCATTTCAGACTGGTGAGAGCTAGCTTACCCAGTTCGATGATGCACCGTCGATTAGTCATATTCAAGAAGTGAGCGGATGGTGATAAGTAAGGCTGGTGTCAGAGTCGGCGATTGTGCGAGTCGCGCGACTCGCGCGGATCGCAAAAATTGCAAGTGCCCACATTTGAAACACTGAATATGAAACAAGTGGAATCATGAGCAGTCGTCATTCAGCCATCACCATCAAGCAGAAATGGCGGCAGGATTGGAGAAGCACCTTGCAGTATTGATCGGGCACTTGTGATTTCTGTGATCCGTCGCGAATCGCGCGACCGTCGCGGACTCTGACACCACCCTAATATTCGGTCCCAGTTGCAGTTTCTGATTGTTGGTTGAGAGCGAGAGGAACGCGTTTGATTCCTCTCCTAGGCGAAATGGTTTGCTCACGAGCTGACACCTTTGTGATAAGTTTTAATTAATATTTTTACCGTCCTGGCAACAGCTGAAGAGGCAGGTATCTCCATTACTACAGTAATCGCCGCCGCTACAAGTGGCTTTCTCATATGCACTTATGCGGCAGATAGGGATAGATCATTGCGAGCCGGCGGGTGGAACAGTGGACAGGACGAGTGAGGGTAGTCCAAAGGGTAAGGTGGGCGAATCACCTGACGTGAACTGTCGGATTGTATGGACCGACACCATCTCGGTTGCAGAGGATAGGCAAGCCGCTCACCGTGACGGCGACTGCGCCATCTTCGCCCCCTCTAATTACAGTAGTACTTACACAGAAGTGTATGAATGACAAGGGGTCGTAATGGAGCTTTTTTCGGCTCTCACAGCTGCAGTAACACTTTCTTTTCTACATAAATATAAATACGTGCATTACTTGGTTTTTGGTCTCTGGCAATCTGACATATTCCGAATAATTTATGTTCCTAGAAAATAGCTATATTATTATACAAAAATTCCATTTCAGGCATGATTGCGGCGAAGGAGCGATTGAGGACATGTACCGCGGACCTTTTGCACTTAATGAGTGGCATTCGGTCACGGTATGGAGGAAATTCTGTGATCGTACACAGTTGAAGGTGGACTCAAAACCGCTGATGGTGGATCTCACTGAGCAGTTCAGGGTAGGCGCTACGGTAGAACGTTTCTTGGGTTTTCCCTAATCTGTGCAAATATGAAACCACTTGTTGCCAAAAAGTGTTCCTGAACGGTCCTTCATAGCAAGGGCCTACTCGATTGTGTGTTCACAAAAAAAAATTCGAAAAAAAGAAAACCATACTACCCGAAAAGTTGTCCCTGATCACTTTTCAAGTGAGCTTGGTGGTGCAGAATTCTTCAGTGGTTCGAAACGTCGTTAAAGTTTTCCGTGCCGAACAATGGTCTTGAAAGGAAACCACGGTTATACGAAGCCAGTGGAATCGCCACTAAATTAGGTCAGGTCATATCGATGCTCCTGGCAGGATAATTTGGAAGGACTGTCAACAACATACGAACTCTGAGCCCTTTCTCGTAACTTAGGTGAACACTCTTCTGTTACAACATTTCGAGCGTACTTGTCAGGGTAGTTTGAAGTATTGCTATTCAATGAGGTTGAACTGACTAAGGACAAAAAACTACACAAAGAAATCGTGCTGGAAATCAGTTTGAAATGCCCCGCTCTGGGACCAACTATCCGACCTCACAAGATGGAAGGCTTAGTTTGTCTGGACGCCGCACTACCCAGGATTGATCCATGGACCGCGCGCGTTGTAAAGAACGCCACTCACCTCTGCGCCACTTCCGCCCGTTACATTCACTAAAAATTCAGAACATGGTTTCGTCCAGATCTTTGAGAACCATTTGTTGGGAGCTCTGCAGTGTTTAGCAATCGAAAAGGGGTGAAAGGAAGTAAAGCAGTGTTATTTGTGTCTTTGCTGCTTGTCAACTGTGAGTCTGCACAGAAAGCATGGGGTAAAAGTCTAAAAGGCAACAACTGATGCGCGCAAACTAATGCTGTTCCCTCCACGGTGAACGAATAATAGATGGTGCAGTAGACGATGTACCCTCGCTCTGTTCTGGACAGCAGAGAGACCTCAGAAAGTAGATAGGCAAAAGTGGGCACAAATGGCAACTGTGAGCCCTAGCGCATGGAGCCGGGCAGAAATCCAAGCTTTCTATTACATCATTTCGCACTGTCAAAGGTAAGCTGTGCGTGATAGCGTGCGATGTCAGCGGCATCCTTACAAATACAAAGCAGGAAGAGTGTACAAAGCACCTGCGATGAAGCCCCTTTACCCGATCGCTATCCGCACTCACTGATTTTTCTAGTTGCTTGGCTACAAGGTTGGAAGCACAGGCAGGTGTGCAGCCGCAGCTGAATGTGTTGAATGGAATGTGCGAATTCTCCAGGGACCAATTAAATCTCTTTTGTAATCCACAAAACACGTAGATGATGAATAATGATCCCGTGAGAAGATTGGCCATCAAGCCAGCGGTCAAGCATTTGAGCGGTTCGCTTGGACGTCCGAGCGGCTCAGCCGCAACCGCTTTGGGACTTTGTGAATTTGCCCTAAACTGGCAATCGAATGTGGTGGATTTTTCCATTGACGAGGAATAAGAACGTGGAAACATGGACATGACCCTAGTTGAAACCGCGCCTCGCCACACTATCTGCAAAACTTGCGCCTTTCTCGGACTTGAACCCTGGATGATAGGACTCATAGCCGGGATTTTGCCAGTGCACTAGGGATCACTCGATAGAAGCGTTGAAAGTGATGTTGACAACAGCATTGGATGAGATGTTGACAACAGTTAAGCAACGGATCTCACTGCCAAATTTTAGACCTCACGCGGTGTTGATCCAACAATTTTGTAGTGATAGCTTGGAACGATCCGTTTGAGCCATTGGCATTTTGCCGTGGTCCAAATAGTGAGCATCGCTCACATTGTTGTAAAACTCGCGCTACAATAGGCTTGGACCGTCGATGCGCGATGATTGTAGAGTTCTGAACATCCCGTAGTATTGACCTCGTGACCTATCCAACACCAACGTAGAACGAGGACGCTACACCACTGGTGTATCAATGCCAAGGTTCCCTTTCCCTTTCTATCATACTGTTCACTTACACATACTGGCTCTTTGAATATGGTCACATCTAAAAAGTCCTCTGGAGGACTTTTTAACGCCGTAAACATCGACCGCCTGCGTCCTCACTCCTCGCGCACTTTTTCTACTTTCTCTGCCCCCGCCGTTGTTTGTTTTCGAGGGGCAGCGCTTTCAATCCTCCTACAGCCATAATGGGATCACCCTTACTTCTAAGTGAGTTCAAACTCACTTAGACTATCTGATGGGGAATCTGCGGAAGGAGTTTCACGAGTTCCTCTACGCATTCTTCAGGAAACTTCGAGTGTACGCCTTCACCAAGTCACCACGAGCTCATGGCCTTATGATGACTCACAGTTGGGGCCAGAACTGCCGTCTCTTCATTGTACGGCATAAAGCGGTGTTGTTTATTGCGCTTGGTTCCGGGGCGATATTCTGGATTGAGTGGAACCAGCCAACCAAATTCTGCAATGATCCGGAGCTGTTTTTGTCTCATAAACCCTTCTGGGATATAGTAAGCGCTCTGACTTGAGCATTGACTGCGCCTGCTGGCTACTGTTTTCAGACGAAATCATAATCAGATGCCAGTACAATTCTGATGAGAAGTGCATCCCTCCGGTGTCGATTTATTGGTAGGCCTGTCTTAGGACAGGAGAACGTTGACTTATGTATACTGGCCCAGCAAGTGATTGTTTTGGATAGATCCCAGTCGAGATGCTACTACGATTTTAAATAGGAGCAGAATGCATGGCGCATCCGAAAAAAGTTAGGGGTAAACTGCAAATGTTAAATCTTAACTCTGACCTCAATGTTTTATGTCATACATGGTCTTGGATTCTCAGATGACGTTCACCGGTGTCCCGTTAACGTCCTAAGTGCACCTGGGTTTCAAAGGATCTCTTTCACGGACCATGGAACCAGTCGAGCGGGAGCGAAGGGTTTTGAAACGAAAACGCATGCGGCATGTCGGATCACACGTGCATGTGGGAAGGTTGAGAGAATCCCGGATCACGTTCGTTGCGTTCGTAGCGTGGAGGATCCGTACTACAGGCATTTCGCACAAACTTCAAGGTTCCCGCCTATCCATGGTCCATGACAGATTCCTTTGAGCTCGGAGATGCTACGGCTGTGAAAATTGAAAAAAAAATCGTTCGGAGTGTGGGCAGAACACAGACCTTTGACTCACAACAAAGAACCCTTCCTTCCACATCTGAACGCTTGAGTTCTCTCGTTCTTTGACGTTGTTTGAGTAAGTTGGAGCAAAGAAGCCACAGTTGAGAAAGGGTTCGGAGAACAGGGCAAAAAAGGTGTTGGTGACACTGCGAGATTTTATAGCAGGCTAATCAATTTTGCTTCAATTTAGTGTGATTCTAAGTACATTTCTCCTACAATCGCATTACTGAATTGCAGAACGAGCAAAATTACTAGTAAAGCTCTGTGGGTGCAAACCCTGAATGAGGTTACGGTGTTCCAAAAAACAAGACTTCGAAACTTCCACGGAGCAAAATCCGCAGAAACTCTCGAAAAACTCCTTCGATGGTTTCAGGAGCACAAAACTTTTCCTCTGGTTTTCAAGAAAACACAGGCAGCTTACTTGGAAAAGATCGTGGCAATTTTAAGAACATCTCATTTACATGACCCTAATAGGCAACTTCAATCTTGCAGATGAGCTCTAAGGTGGAGCTGTAAGGTGGAGTCAGGTTAGAGGGAAGGGTGTTGGCATTGGAGAAAAGTTTGCGGTAGCTTGCGCCCTGCGGCAAGAGAAAAAATGCCATGTGGAGATTAAGTTCCTAGACCCTTCCAAAGCTTGTCTGATATTGGGATCTGAGGAGTTCCCCAACTGAGTGCTAGGAACCACCACTATAGTTTTCCTTTTGAAAGCACATGTCCTTTTCACATGACAGCCCAAATTAGTGAATATTCAAAAGTTTGGCACTTTGTTGGACAACGGGAAGTGGTGCAACCATCTATAGAAGCACAACTTTGTGCAAAATGAAGAGTAACATAGGCCTCGTTGCTAGGTCGAGTAGACTTTTCAGGCTTAAAAAGAAGAACCTCTCAAGGGATGTCACTTTACGTCTCTGGATCATTTCCAAGACTATCACAAAGCATGACGCTATCTCAGAAATGGAGCATCCTTTAAGACTGAGCCTAGGAGAGGAGAAATTCCGGGAAAATGAGAATTGCTCATGCGCCCTGAAGTCTCTCCTCCTCGCCTGAGGCATAACCTCATTTTGATCAAAAAGGATGTGTTTTACGCTGTTTTACATACACTGCCACCACAATGCCCCCATATCTTGCGATAGTGCCCAATACATTATCAATTTGGGCTATTGTTTGTGC